ACAATCCCTCCCTAGACTATCCCAGATGGATGTCAAGAATCTCAACAGAACCATAGCAATGGAAGAAATAGACAAAGTTATTAAAGGATTACCAAGAAAAAAATTCCCCAAGCCAAATGGATTCACAGGGGAATTCTACCAAGCATTCAGGGAAGAATTGACACCAATCCTACACAAACTCACCCAGAACATAGAAAAAGACAGAAAAATCTCAGACTCTTTCTATGAAGTTAGTATACCTCTGATACCTAAAGCAGGCAAGGATACCACAAGAATTGAGAACTACAGACCAATATCCCTAATGAACATTGATGCAAAAGTCCTTAACAAAATACCGGCCAATAGAAAACAAAAGAATATATAAAAAAAATTTTTACCATGACCAAGGGGGATTCATACCAGGGATGCAGCGATTGTTCAACATACGAAAGACCATTAGTATTATTCTCCACATTGGCAGAAAAAAATGTTAAGAACCACATGATAATATCAATAGATGCAAAAAAGCATTTGAAAATATCCAACATCCATTCCTGTTTAAGACACTCAAGAAGATAGGAACAGAAGGAAAATTCCCATTATTATACAAGCTATATATGAAAACCTACAGCCAACATGGTAGTCAATGGAGAAAATATGATAACAATTCCACTGAAAAAGGGGACCAGACATGGATGCCCCTTGTCTCCACTCCTATTTAACATCATACTGGAGGTCCTAGCTAACAACATAAGACAAAGAAAAGGCATCAAAGGTATTCATCTAGGGAATGAAAACGTGAAATTATTATTCGCAGACAATATAATTTTATACACCGAAAATCCCCTAAACTCCCCAAGTGGAGTGTTGGAAGTAATAGAGGAATATGACAGACAGGCAGGATACAAGATCAACAAACAGAAGTGTATCGGTCTGCTATACCCATCCAACTAGCTCACAGAAGAGGCAATTAAAAAGTAGTACCCTTTACAATAGCCTAGCACAAATTCAAATATCTAGGGATATACCTGACTAAAAAAATGAAAGATTTGTATTAGGAAAATTATAGAACACTACTACAAGAAATCAAGTGTGACCTCAACAAATGAAAGAATATTCCAGGCTCATGGATTAGAAGACTCAATATAGTAAACATGTCAGTTCTGCCCAAGGCACTATATAAGTTTACTGCAATCCTGATATAAATACCACCATCCTTCTCCAAAGTATTGGATAAACTGATTACCAACTTCATAAGGAGAAGGAAGAAGCCCAGAATTGGCAGAGAACTCCTCAAGAAGAAGGACAAAATGGGAGGGCTTTCTCTACCTGACTGTAGCACGTGCTATACGGCCACAGTAGTCAAAACAGTGTGGTACTGGTATAATGACAGATACTCAGACCAATGGAAAAGAGCTGAAGACCCAGAAATAAAAACATAAGCACACAGGCAACTGATTTTTGATAAGGGTCCCAAAAAACATCAAATGGGAAGCAGATGCCCTCTTCAATAAGTGGTGCTGGAAAAAATGGATATCTACCTGCAGAAAAATGAAGCAAGACCCTTACCTCACTCCATGCACAAGAATAAACTCAAGGTGGGGTCACAGACCTTGAGGTAAAATCCTAAACAATTAGGGCCATTAATGAGGGAATTGGGACAAACCTGAAAACCTCAGCATAGAGAATACATAGGCTATCAGAATTAAGAAAGAATACAAATACAGAGGATGCACAAATTGACAAGTGGGATATACTGAAGATAAATCACCCGTGTACATCAAAAGAATTCACCAAGAATTCACGGACTGGGAAAACATCTTTAGCAATGACACTTCAGACAAAGACCTTATGACTAAAATCTACAATACTTTGCAAGCTTAAAATAAGAGAAAACTAACTGCCCACTGAGGAGGTGGGCAAAGGATCTGAACAGAAGTTTCACAGGGGCAGAAATCTGAATGGCCAATAAACCTATGAGAAAATGTTCCTGGTCATTAGCCATAACAGAAATGCAAATTAAAAAACTATGAGATACCACCTAACACCCTCAAAGATAGCCCAATTCAAAAAAATCAGAAACAACAAGTGCTGGAGGGGCTGTGGTGAGATAGGAACTCTCATCCACTGCTGGTGGATCTATAGATATGTACAGCCACTATAGAAATCGATTTGGTGATTTCTAAAACAGATGGAAATTGAGCTATCATATATCTAGAAGAGGCGAGAAACAAACCACAGCCAGATATGTATGCTCCAATGTTCATTGCGGCACAATTCATGATTGCAAGGAGTTGGAAACAAACCAAATTTCCATCAACAGACTAATGGATTAAAAAACTGTGGTACATACATACAATAGAGTACTATAAATTACTAAAAGCAGTGATGAACATATGAAGCATATCATATGTTCCCCATGGGAAGAAGTGGAGGAAATTATGCTCAGTGAAGTAAGCCAAGCACAAAAGGACAAGTGCAATA